TCATACAGCCTCGGCTTCGAGACAGAATTGCGGAGCAAGTGCCACTCAACATGCATCTACGGGGTCAAGAGGATATTAAAGTATACATACGTGAATTGTTCGCATGTCGTTGGGGTGGACAATGCTGCACATATGCTGTATCCGCAGCATATGTGCGGGACACGGAGCAGACTTAGTGGAATACCTAAAAACTTACATCGGAGTCTTCATAGGTATTCCACTAAGTGTAGCCCCAGGACGCGAGACTGTGGATTGCGGCGTATTGGAGCCCGGCGTTGTGCTGGGCCTGCTGGCATGCAGCAGAACCGTGGTGTCGACCCCATACTTCTCGCTCGATCAACCTGACTTGCAATGTTGACACGTTGTTCAAATCGGGACATGTGGCAGTGCTCTGGAGGACAATCTGCCATTCATTGGAACGGAAAGGGACAGAAAGGGCATAAACTACTACAAAGGGCTACAAACGGGGGCAAAATCACCGGTTTTGACTGGGCCTTAGTGACCGACACTGTAGCATGATGTGGACCATCCGGCATATGCCGCGCGCCCTGCCACATGACACGCTAATTGCCGATGTCACGGTATGTCACACTCCGGTAACCCATACCTTTCTGGGTCCATGGACCGCTATGGGTTATGGGAGAGTCGACTGTAGTCTCAAGGTAATTTGGTTGCCGGAGCTTGCCTGCGGCACCACAATTGACCATATTTAGTCGAAATAGTACAGTACCGTTTCGTGAGGTACCACTTGACACTAGTCCATATTCCACGTATCACTGTCGAACATCTGTCGTCTATAGAGCTTATGAAATTGTTGACTCGGAGCGGTGTGAGCCCATTCACGCTTTAGGAGGAAACGATGTGGCATCTCATCCATGTCGGGTTTGGCCCGTGACCCTGAGAAAATTGATCTGTGGCTCAAGTTGTGGTGTGGCTGCCGCGCGATCTTGAACTTGAACTTCCCACTTTTCCGGCCAAACAACCCTCATACTCTCGCTCTCTCGTGTAAGTTTCTGCGACTATACGTTATGGAGAGATCGTCGTCTGGCGGCGCCGAACGGGCAGGGGGTACGTGTATATATGTGCCTTTCAAGTCCTACTCCGAGGCGATGACCCATTTACGACGTACAGGTGATCACGATCAAATGACTGGAGGACCTGTCATCGGAGACGGAATGCCTCTCCAGACCACCTTGATATTCACTCTTCCTCGGAGTGAAAGAAATAGGAGTGTAGAAACAGTGACTCGGCCCTGGGCACCAGGTAATCTCTTAATGCTCAGCATCAGTAGCTTCGGGTCATTGATAGGAAGCGATGCAGCTCCAATTGACAGGATACCCGTGGAACTTCTGTCAATCATCATGATTCTGGCTGTTCCTCAGTTTGATTTTGCCTCCCCGGACTGGGATTTTCTTCCGAAACTCGAACGGAGTATGAGTGATATCTTGGATCTCACTGCAGTATCTCGCCGGTGGAGGCAGGTTGCTGAGAATACACCACAGCTCTGGAGTTGTCTTCACGTTCGAGCTCATGAGTCGAAGATAGAGGAATATTTCATGAAGACCTGGATGTCTCGTTCGAGGGCGGTACCACTCAGCGTCTCCTTTGACGGCGACACAGAGGAGCCAGATTCGGAATGTTTCAACCTCCTCAGAGGAAATCTGCACCGCTGTAAGCATCTGCAGCTTGACGCCCCTGCACACATGATATCCTCGCTTATGAGCGGGTCGTTCCCGCACCTGGAGACCGTACGACTTCTTAACCGCTACAAGGAGCAGACACTGGCACTCAAGGACCTCTCATTGTCCTCCGCTGCCCCAGGAATCCGACTCGTCTATTTGCAGGGCATCAGCTCTGACTTTAACACCAAGTCCTTTAACTGGTGGTGTGTCACGGAGCTCATCCTTGAAGCCACCGGTCTGGCTCTCATGCCTTCCATGACTGTAATCGCTGAGTGTACCAACCTTCACATCCTGCGACTCACCTTCAACAAACTCACGGAGGAAGATGCGAAGCCCTATTTTGATGACAACGACGGGCCAAGGCCCCGCTGCGAGAAACTGCATACCCTGGAAGTCAAGGCGCCCGACAGCTACTTGGACTTCTCAGTATTCATCTGGTGGCTCTTCCTGCCTGCTTTGCGCCGATTAAAGCTGTACGGCTGCTTCGTTCTTTATCCTTGCCTGTTGGAGATGATTCCAAGGGATGGATGCTTGCTCGAGGAGCTAGTCATAGATCATGATGCACCAGACCCATTTACCACAGAGGAGGAGCATCTCCTGACATTCTTTAAGTCCTTACCAGACCTGCGGACACTCGAAATAATTGGAGGAATACCCGATGCATTCCGCACGGATATTGCCAAGCGCCTGACGTTCAAGCCTGGACGACCTCGGAACGACTATCTTCTTCCGAAGGTGGAATCGATGAAGATATGGGGCCTCGGCGGATGGGCCAGCTACTGGGACATTCAAAAAATGCTTGAATCAAGAAGCAAAATCGGGGCGGAGGCTCCGGCGACGCGTTTAAAGTGCGCAACGATCACATCCCGCGGATATTCACAGAAACACCGGTGGGACCTGAAAGCAGACGGGCACATCATCCATGATGGATGGCACATTCAATACGGTTTCCTGCCCTTTGTTCCTACTTGCGAACCGCGATCCCCCGGTGATGAAGATGAAGTGGTACATTCGACACTGGCTGTCACACCTTCCCCGCCCCCCGAAATTGACGCAGATCTCTTAGATTGAATTGCGGCAACTGGATTGAGGGAGGCACTTCTTATACGTGTTCTGGACACTGATAAAGCATGCGAAAGCCTTTTTCTTAGAAATGTGTTTTAGAGTAGTGGTAGCATACTCCTAACCGCTAGTGGTGTCTACGATAGGAGCAATGCGGGGCTGAAACATAAGAATTGACGAATTGCATGTGAGCAGAGAACTTGAAGGCGAGAGAGGGACGGATAAGAGTGCGAGCCACGGCAATGTCGTAGTGAGAGCGCAAATGCGAGAGTCAGGGACGAGAGTGCGTGCGACGGACGCGCAGAGAGCGCGACAAAACCATATATGTGCAATCAAGAGAGGGGTGAACGATAGCATGTGGGCAGGGGCGAACATCCCTTGCCTCCAATCACTCGAGGAACGCTTCATCTCCGTCGACACTAGTACCTCTCGTATCCCTTCAATCCGGTGACTCGAAGCAGCCACTGGACTCTGGAGGGCGGGCTTACATCTCGAGAGATGCTCGGCTGCCGCGTCGTCCTAAGGCGTATATCCTGGCGGGGAGGTCGCTTTGATGCCATGAAAAACGGGGACATGAATTATAATCGCCTCAGGCAGCGGTCGTCGGGAGACTACGCTATACTGACCGACGGTGCGTCAGTTCTTGGCAGCGTGTCGCCTGGTGGGTCCTAACGGTATATGAGGATGGGGGCCCCAGTGCGACATACACGCGTCCTTCGTTTCGCGGGCCGCAGGATGCGACTTCGTCGCCGGATTGCTCTTGCCATCCAAGAGATAATATCCGGGGGACGACGCCATAGTCTGTGTCACCCCCGTCGGATTAACCGACATTCTGCTGGACTCGCGAGTTCGCTCGATATTCCGGGGTGCGGCGTTCGAGATGATCATACGGTCTGGCCGCTCCGGATCGACATGACACCCCCCGTCCCCTGGGGCTGGCGGTCAATTAGCGTACTATAGAGACGACATGCGCTTTCAATTCTCCTGACGTGCATACATACCCATCTGGGGCAGAAATGCCGCACTGGATTTGTATGTACGCCTGGTTATGTTCACGATCTGCTCTCGACGACACCAGGAAACGTCAGATGTTTTCAGTACGTACCTACATGCTCTGATGAGAGGCACACAGGAGTATAGTCGCGAAATTTCCCCTGCTGCGTAGGCCGAACAGCGCGAATCACGTCGCTGAATTGGCCAGATCGACACGACGGATCCCAGACCCGGCTGAGATGGACCATAGAGACCTCGGGTGGCGGTTTGTAGATGAACTGCTGTCCAGCGTGATCGCAGCTTCCTGGCCGCCGGTGTTTGCCCCGTCTCGATGGGGAGACAATATCCCGCACGCGCAGTACTCGTACACCACTGGGGACGATGACTGGAAAGTCAGACGTCTGGATCAGATACCCGAGTGAGCACTCCATAGAGCTCCGTCGCAGCCTCCAGGTAAGCTGTGAGTTGAATGTGTTCACCAGTTAGATCCCGAAGATGGACATGCTTGGAAGGGTCCACAACGACACTGAAACGACGGCCGGAGGGCCTTGCGGGACGTTATCCGTTATGTCCAAGAGCACCTCGCATCTGTTCGTCAAGAGCAGGTCCACACGAACGTCCGGATCTGACGAGCCCCTCCGATCCGCTGTCTTCTCGGTACTTCGTGGAGTGCGATAGGTGTCCTATTTTGTCTCGTGGGAGCTCTCGACCCTCCCGAGTGTCTTGACGCGGTCCAATTTCGTCTGTCAATGCCTGCGGGTTGTGGGGAAAAAGCCTCGTGCGTGGGATTAGCACCGACGTCGCGTCTTCGAAATACAGCCTGGTCAAAGCGTGTCCTATTCGTTCTCGTGGGAGTCCCGAGACAGCAGAGTGTTTTGTTCGTAGAACTGGCACCTGAACATCCTTCAGGCTGTGGGGAAGCCGATCCTCCGAACTGAGAAGGCCTCGTGCGGGGATTAGCACCGACGTCGAGTCTTCGACTTCGAAACACAGCCTGGTCAAAGCCCTCACTCCAGTCCAGCGACCGTGATCGCGCGATGAGACCCAGAGGGAGCACTTGCCCAGAGTCCGTCCAGAATGGTCTGTGCTAGATGCTGGCCAGCCTCTTCGTCGCGATCAACGCGGCCACAACAGGCCGACACAGCTCACTTGACCGTGGCGAGTGATGACAGGGCACGCATCCACGCCATGGTGATTCTGAGAAGACTGAGGGTGGATTGCAAAAAATGTCAGTTGTGCTCCAAAACATACCCGGGAACATGATGGTGCACGAGTAAGCAGAACATGAGATGGATTTGGACGGACACGCCACAATGGCGGGTAAATCCGCGGAAAGATAGGTCTCACTGAGCGGGGACCCCGATACATCCTCTCCTCACTTTCTTCCACTCGTTCGCATCTACCATATGCAACAATCTCAGGTAGAAATAGTATACGTCTATATCTGTTTATTCAAGCACTTATTACCTGTGAAATACCAGGACAATCTGCTGTATGATCTCTACAGGCCAAAGCGGGGTGTACAGGGTCCTTGTGCCATAACCAGACTGGGACGATCCCCCATGCGGAGCAATGCCAAATCGGGACAATGTATAGGACCCGACGAGCGTCGGGGCAGGTCTCGTGAGCAGCCCACTGCCCCTATACAAACTTACAATTTCCTCCCGACCGTCACCTACGTTTTCTTTGTATCGTTGCAGAACGCCATGGACGTCGTAGAGTTTTACAAACGGCAAGGTGAGCATTGGGGTTCGCTTGGACCGCCCGTTCTCTGCTATCTCGGCTCGGCGGTTCGCATGCAGCAGTGCGTCGGACTCGTGGGCCGGTGGGGCGGCACTAGATTTGCCGCGTTTGTGACATGACGCTATCTGCGTCGTGTTTCTCTCCCCCTCGCTGCCCGTACAAATCTCCTCGACGTGCGCGCGCTCCTATTTATTGACGTCCACTATGTCGTTGACGTCTGCCGCGTCCTCCACGGACGCTTCGTCATCGAGTTCGTCGGCCCCCTCTTCGTCCTCGTCTTCGGGTCCTCTCTCATCATCTTCCGCGCCCGCGTCTGATACTTACTCCCCCTCGTCCTTCTCAGATCCGCCGCCGAGCACGACCAGCACGGTCACGTCCACTGAGTCGACGTCGAGCACGACGACCGAGCCGACTACGAGCACAACACCCACCTCGACGTCGACAACGACATCCGTTGGCCCTGGCACATCAGAGACCACCACCACCGTCCCCCCAAATACCTCCTCCACAAATGGAGACAGCACCTCGTCCGGCGGGTCAACGACGACGCCACCGCCGGGCGAGTCGACCACATCGCACTCAAGCCAGCCTGTGACCTCGATAAGCACCGTCATCCAGACCACAGTCGTGTAAGCACCCTTAGTCCGTCCGATCTTCCCGGCCTTACCTCTCGCAGCGTCACCGACCCCGGCGGGGCGATCCACACCTCCGTCTACTCCACCACCTCGCTCGTCGCCGCCGCGCCCACGGGCAACACCAACAACTCCTCCTCGTCCTCGCACATCGGCGCCATCGTCGGCGGGACGATCGGCGGCGTCGCAGGTGTGGCCGCGCTCGGGCTGCTCGTCCTCTTCCTCGTGCGCCGGCGCAGACGCTACTCCGACTTTGACGGCAACTTCGACCCGGACCGCGTCGTGAACCACACCGCGGGCGGCGGCGGCGGGGGCACGCTGCCCAACGTCGACCTGGCCGGCACGGAGATCACGCCGTACCCGATCACGCAGCCGGGGCAGCCCCCGGACATGGCGCAGTACCACAACACCGGCGTGCCGGGCTTCCTGCCCGTCGGCGCGCAGCCGAGCCACTACACGCAGAGCGAGTACACGCAGAGCAGCTACTACCCGACGTCGCCGACGAGCGCGAGCGGGCACACGAACGTCGCGGCGGGCGAGTACCCGGGGCGGCACCCGAGCCCTGGCCCGAGCCTCGCGCCGACGAGCAGCACGTACCCGACGACGAGCGTCACCGGGCGCAGCGCGAAGGAGCGCGAGGCGTTGCAGGGGCGCTATCGCACGTCGCTGGGCGTGGCGAACCCGGATGGCTTGGACACGGCGGGGGCAGGGGCGAGTGGGAGCGGGGAGGTGATTCAGCATCGGGATGGCGGGAGGTTGCCGGTGGCGGAGGAGCAGGAGGAGGGGCCGAGCGAGATTCCGCCGCGGTACGATGAGATTCCGCCGGATGAGCGGTAGAGATAGATCGCCCGTGCAAAATGGAGTGATAGATGGAGATGAGCGGTGAGGGACTGCTGCTTTTCCTCTGCTGTATACTGTTCTCCTTTCTCTTCTCACTTTCACTTAATTATCGGGACTCCTGCATCCATCCTCTTTTTCTTCCTCCCGCTTTACACCTCTCGTTCTCGTCCCCGTCTGTTTTCTTGTAACGACCTCGGCCACGAATGCATTTCTCCCTCTTGCGGCGTAGCTTGCACTTGCGTCATCTTTTTCTGTTTTCGCTACCCGCACCTGCCTGCTTTGCCATTTTCTGTTACGACCCTATGTACGAGATACATTATACTGGAATGCGGATAATATTTGCCATTGACTGTTGTGTGGTCATGAAGGACGCCACTTCCAGCTTCTCTCAAAGACGGAGTCTGTCTTGGACACACATCGTTGTTCTCTCTTCATGTCCACGCCTGCTTTGCGGTTTCGCCCACTCCAGAAATCAAGCGCAGACGCTTTCTGACTTCTGTACCCTAGACTACGCTTGGACCTTCAATTCCGTTACTTCTGCCATCCAAGACAGCCTTCTCGAACACAATAGCTCGGAAAGTCGGCCTCATTGTTCTCCACACGCGAGCCGCACTGGCACAACATAATGGTCATGGCGATCACGAAGAGCGCATCTCTCAACCCCTCGCTCGAGGAAGGCGAAGTCGAGGAGGGCAACGCGGACAGCATCGCGAGCAGCCGGGAGGGCAGCTTGACGGACGAGCCTCTGTCCCCCTCCGATTCTACCACAACAACGAGCTCGGGCGCGTCGAAATCCAAGGCTATTATGCACAAGGCAGGAGCGAGAGATGGGTCGGCCATGTCGAAATCGTCAAGTACAACCCCTACCGCAAGTTCAAGTTCCAAGCCTGTGCAGAACAGTACGAGCCATTCCCCTCCAAAACCCGCGCCGCCCGAGAATATATCCGCCGAACGTGAGCACCCTCCCCTCCCTCCCTCTTCCGTCCCGCCACCGACACGCGTGTGTATGGGGACAGTGAACGCGGCGGACCTCGAGCGCGCGAAGACGCTCGTCCTTGACCTCCTCGGGTGGGGCGTGCCGCCCGAGTACCTCGTCGACGCGGGCGTGTCGGGGCAGGTGATCTACAGGGTGTTTACGGAGCTCAATTTGAGGCTGCCGAAAAATTTGGCGGTGCCGCCACAGATGCAGAAGCAGAAGACGTGAAGTGGGGCGGGTGGTGCGGGTACGGAGAGGTAAAGTGTATTGTTACAGCAGGGACTCTGGCGCGGTACGGTCATTATGATCGTAAGTGGTATCGGTGCATGTATTGTACGCTAATTTTGTAATCTCGCAAGGGCGTGGGGGGGATGATGTGGTACGAAGGACCCGGGGAGGCAATAGACAGCGATTTCTCGCTGCAACTTTTCTGCAGCTCTTGCGGGCAAACGCGATTCCAAACACGACGTTCGGCGAGCGTCGAATGATTAGAGAAGACTGACGCACTACCAGGGATGTGATTGGGCCATCGCAGTTCGCTCAGGGACTCCACGCAGTGTGTTTGGCCGCTTCGGCGAGACAGTCGCCGTCCTGCAAGTACACCTGTGCGGACAAGGTATTCCTGGTGATGTGCGCTCCCATGCCAATGCCGCTCGCCCCGCCTGCGTGATGTAACGAGGTGCGTACTTCAACTGTCGTCGAAGTTTCCCGGTGTCGTGCTGCTTCATCGCGAGGACGGTCGCTGGTACGACCAGTCGCACACGCATACGCTCCGAAGCATTTCTGCTCCGGATGGGCATGTATGCACGTCGGGATGTGGCTAGGAAAGCGCACGTCCGTCGTCTAGCGGCTCGTTGCCATTAGCTGGGGCGGGACTCGTGCTGTCCGTCTCGTGAGCGGGGCAGAAGGTCGATTATCCTCTCCGCAGACTTTCCTCGCGGTTGACAAGCGCATTCCAGCGACGCGGCGGAGGACTCAGGACAGATTGTGTCGCGCTCGGCCCCTCACCGTCGTAGAGTCTGCTACCTACCACACCGTCGTCGGATGGCGCGCTGGGCGCACATTCGTACATTCCCAACGCACCTTCCATTCACGACATGCAACGGGTCCTCCGCTTGTGCTGTGTCCTTGCCCGGGCGAAAATCTCAAGAACTTACGTTCCCGTCGATCAGGAAAGTGTGCTCGCCTAGCGCCCGTACGAGAGGCAGTTTAGATGCGTGTTCCTTTTTCATGGCGTTCAAGCGATTTTCACGCCCTAGGAGCATAATCGCGGGACAGAAGGGCAGACGAGCATCTCTCGACATGTAAGCCCGCCCGCCGGAGTCCAGTGGCTGCTTCGAATTGAAGGGATACGAGAGGTACTGGTATTGACGGAGATGAAAATTCGTTGAGTAACTTAAGGCAAGGGATGCTTGCCCCTGCCCACATGATATTACTCCCTTCTCGGTTGCCCATATCTTGCATTGTCGCGCTTACCGCACGCCCTCTCATTCCTGACTCTTGCAGTTGCGCTCTCACTACGGCATTGCCGTTACTCGCGCTCTCACCCGTCCCTCTCGCTCACAAGCAGTTCGGCATTTCTCAGCCCCGTATTGCTCCTCGCTGTATCGTAGACACTACAAACAGTTAGAACTGCAGAATTCATATGCTACTACTACTGTAAAACACTCTAAGAAAAAGGCTTTCGCATGCTTTATTAGTCTCCTTGAAGAAGGGTATAAGAAGTGCCTCCCTCAGTCCAGGTTACCGCAAGTCCATTTCAGAGGGAGGATGAGGCGTGACGGCCAATATCGAAGGTGCCACTTCATCTTCATCACTGGGGGGTTGTGGTTCACAGGCAGGAACAAAAGCCCGGACACCGTCGAATTCAATATGGCATCCCTTATGATAGATGTGCCCATCTGCGTTCAGGTTCCATTGGTGTTTCTGCGAATGTCCACACGTTTTGATCTCTGCGCACTTCAACCGGGTCACTGGCGCCCCCTCGCTAACTAGTTCGCTTCTTGATTCAAGCATTCTTTGGATATCCCAGTAACTGGCCCATCCGCGGAGGCCATAAATTTTCATCGACTCTACCTTCGGAAGAAGATAATCATTCCGAGGGTGTCCAGGCTTGAATGTCAGGCGTTTGGCAATATCCGTGCGGAACGCATCGGGAATACCTCCAATTAGTTCGAGTGACCGCAGTTCTGATAAGGACTCGAACAACTTTAGCAGATGTTCCTCCTCGGTGGCAAATGGTTCCGGTGCATCAAGGTCCACGAGCAGCTCCTCGAGCATGCATCCATCCCTTGGAATCATCTCCAAGAGGTAAGGGTAAAGCATGAAGCACCCGGACAACTTTAACCGGCGCAAAGCAGGCAAGAGAAGCCACCAAATGAATACTGAGAAGTCACCGTAGCTGTGCCACGCCTTGACTTCCAGGGTATGCAGTTTCTCGTATCGGGGCCTCGGCCCGTCCTTGTCATCAAACCAAGGCTTCGCATCTTCCTCCCTGAGGCTCTCCATGATCAGTCGCAGAATGTGAAGGCTGGTACACTCGGCAATGATGGCCATGCAAGGAACAAGAGCCACACCTGTCACGTCAAGGATAAGCTCTGTGACGCAGGACCAGTTAAAAGACTTGACGTTGACGTCGGGGCTAATGCCCTTCAAATAGACCAGTCGAATTCTTGGGGCAGATGAGGACAGTGAGACACCCTCGAGTGCCAGTGTTTGTTCCTTGTAGCGGTTGAGAAGTCGTACAGTCTCCAGGTGCGGGAATGACCCGCTCATAAGCGAGGATATCATGTGTGCAGGCGCGTCGAGGTGGAGATGCTTGCAGCGGTGCAGATTTTCTCTGACGTACTTGAAACATTCCGAGTCTAGATCATCGCTGTAAGCGTCGAAGGATACGCTGAGAGGTACCGCCCTCGCACGAGACATCCAGGTTTTCATGAGATATTCCTCTATCTTCGACGTGTCCGTCGGAACATAGATGACTTTGAGACAACTCCATAGGTATGGTGTATTTTCAGCAACCGCTTGCCACCAGCGGGACACTGCAGTGAGCCGTAAGACATCACTCATCATCCGTTCGGGATTTGGATGAAGATGCCACTCCGAGGAGGTAAAGTCAAACTGTTGAACCGCCAGAATCATGATCTTTGTCAGGAGTTCCACAGGTATCCTGTCAATTGGAGCTGCATTGCTTCCTATCAACAACCCGAAGCTATTGATGCTGAGCGTTAAGAGATTACCTGGTGTCAAGGGCCGAGTTACTGTTCGTACACTCCTATTTCTTTCACTCCGAGGAAGAGCGGATATGAAGTTGGTCTGGAGAGGCGTTCCGCTTCCAACGAAGGCTGCTCCAGCGGTGTGTTCCTGATCACCTGTACGTCGTAAATGGAGTCATCGCCTCGGAGTAGGGCTTGAACGGCATATATATACACGCACCCACTTCTCGTTCGGCGCCGCGAGACGAGGATCTCTCCATAACGTATAGTTGAAAAAATTTACAGGAGAGACAAAGTTGTTTGGAAGTTCAAGTTCAAGGTCGCGCGGCAGCCACACGACTTGAGCCACAGATCAATTTTCTCAGGATCACGGACCTTCCGAATGACTCTCTAAGCCAGCAAAACAAGTAGATCATCAAGGGGCCTAGGGCGCTGGGGGAGTTGAGCATACCGGACGGACACTCGGCTGGCAACGTTGGACGGCCTTTAGTGACACCGGACCGTACGCGTAATTTTCCGACAAATGTGGTGAGTGTACGGAACGGGTGGTAGTAGTATATGATTGGGGTCCCTTTGCTTTGTCCTGCTGGTTGTGCTAGTGTCAGACGCTCTTAGATATCTGTCAGCACGCATCGGCTGAATGAATGTTTCAACGTAGTCAAAATCCTTAGAACCACAGCGATGAGCGCAGAGGGGATATCTACGCCCGCTGCTCTGGCACATGTAGAGTGTTGCCACAAATAAATACAAACAATCATCCGTGTGACGGAACGTTAAACATCTGAATTGTGGGATTCTAAGTTTACCTAGGTCAACAAGTCATAGCTCAAGCGCACGAAACCCGGATTCCAAAAGTCGTGATTTTAGAGCAATGGTGGATGTCGTGAAAGCGGACGGCATGGAGTGCTCCTCCCAATTTGGTGCGGCTCGTCGCTCTCGGAAATACGGTGTCAACTCATTCGTCCAATAGGTGTAGCTCCCATTGACGCCTTGCCTGAGGATCTTCTACGGGAGATCATGCTTCTAGCTCTCCCTGAGTGCGATTTGGACCATCCGGAGTGGCCCGGGCCGGGGCAGGGCCCTGTGCAGTCTCTTGGGTGGCTCAATACTCTGCGTCTCGCCGGCGTGTCCCGACATTGGAGACAAATTGCTGAGGACCACCCGCACCTTTGGAGCTGCTTCCGAGTATCCGTAGGCGTGCATCGGTTGGTGCCGTCCAAGGCACTTCACTTGACAAAGCTCTGGATGTCTCGTGCCAAGGGGGTCCCACTCTGTATATCATTCTATCTTCCCTGGGGATGTACGGAGCTGCCCCCGGGAAAGATGCAGCTTGCCGTCGAATGGATGGATCTCCTTCAGGCAAATCTGCATCGCTGCAGGAACCTGAAACTCTGCGGCCCGTCCCGTACAATATCACGACTGTCGGCATCTTCTGACATGTCCCGACTGGAGAACCTCGCGATCTTGAACACAATCGAAGACAACTCCTTGAGCCTGAAAGGTGTCTCGGCCCTCGCCTCTGCGACAAGGATCCGGCGTGTTTATCTTGAGGGGATTAGCCCCGACTTCAACATTAAATCCATCAACTGGGTGTCGGTCAGGGATCTAGTGCTTGATATATGTGGTCAAGCATTGACAGCATGCATGGATGTGCTCGTGGAGTGCCCGAATCTCCTCACCCTAAAATTGACCGTGAAATGCTTAGACAGTCGGGACGTGCCACGATGGTGGCGCCCACGGCCGACTTACGCCAGGCTGCACACACTTGACGTCGACGCGCCAGATGGATATGTCGACCTTGCGATTTTCGTGGGCTGGCTCTGTGTTCCTGCCTTGCGCTGCCTGAAAATCAAAGCAGGGATATACCTCTGGCCCCAGATCATGAGGATAGTTGAGCGAAATGCGTCCCCAAACCAGCTCCAGGAGCTCGAAGTGGACCATAACTATGACCGTCCGTTCAGCAGAGACGAGAGGCACCTCCTAGAATTCTTCAGGTGGATACCTCAGCTGAGGATTCTCAGGATGATCGGAGGACATCAGGCGTTGGGCCCGACAATCCTGGACCGCATGACCGTCAGACCCAATTCAACTCTGGGCGATGTTCTTCTGCCGAAATTGGAGACCTTTGAAGCATATTCGATAGGCTCTGGCTGCGATCCCGAACGTGTTCGGGAACTGCTCGAGTCAAGGATCAACTTCGCAGGTGATGCTGGCATCGCACGCTTGAAGAGCGCACGGGTGACCCACAAGCAGACGCGTAGTGAGTGGGAAGTTACAGAATGCGGGACAATCAAAGTTTCTGGGTATAGCGATGATAGGATTGACGGCCTCTACTACTTCTAATTCTTCGAGTGAATAGATAACGATAATTTACAAGCTATGCTCAGTTCAGTTTATCAAGGATGAAGACACATTGGCACCCGAACGGTGTTTCCCTGAGGCCTGACAGGTCCTTCTGGCTCGTCTGGGCAGCGCCAGCAGGCGGTGAGCTGTGAATCTAAGAAACGTCAGCTTCTCTGCGTCTCCGTGTTCAGGCCATCTCCAATCATATTCCGCGGCCAAGTCTGATACTTACACCTCCTCGTCCCCCTCAGATTCGCCATCGAACACTACCAGCACGGTGACATCCACAGAGCTGACGTCGAGTACGACGACTGAGCCGACCGCAAGCACAACGCACCTTCAACGTCAACAATAACGACCCCTGGCCCTGGGACCACACCCACTGCCCCTCCCCAAATACCTCCACAGCACAGGAAGGCCGCGTTCCGTCCGGCGGGTCCACGACAACGCCGCCGTCCGGCGGGTCAACGACTTCGCACTCATCATCGCCACCGGCGACCTCGATAAGCACCGTCATCCGGACAACAGTCGTGTAAGCACTCTTAGTCCTACCCGATCTTCCGGAGCCCACTTGCGGCTCTCATCCGGTGTCACCGACCTCGGAGGCGAAGGCGTCCAGTACCACTACGTTCCCCGCGCGTGCAGAGGAGTGCGAGCCATCCTGCTCCCCCGCCAAAACGCGCGCCGCCCAAAGATATATCCATTGAATGTGTGCACTCTTCTCCCTCCTCTCCACCTACCCAATGTCACACGAGCAGTGAACGCAGCCGACCTCGAGCGGGCCAAGGACGTTCGTGCTCGAGCGCCACAGGTGCAACATATGCAGAAGGCGTGACGAGGGACTGGGAGCATTGATGAGGTCTGAGAGATGAAAGGTATAATAGCAGGGTACAGTTGTCGTGTCTTAAGCGGTATTGATGCATGTGTTGTACGCCAATTTTGTAACCTCGTGAGGGATGAGGGGGAGGAGGGTGGCAGAAAATGGGTACCAATGACAGGATTTTCACGACAATGCTTTTGCACGGCTCTTACTCCTCCTCGCAAATATGCCGCGAAGACGCTGTTCCAAAGACCGAGGGCAAGAGACGCATGAGCGACATCAACCATGGTACTGGAGACTGACGCACGCTCAACCTTGACCTCTTCATCTTCGTACTCGCGACTCGCTCAGTATTCACCCCGACTGCTCCAGCTTGTGGCGGCTTCGAGGGCGAGTCAGGTGCAGTCACAAACGCCTGCAATCCATCCCGTCGTCCGGAACCACCTTATGGAACTGAATAAAGAAAGCGTACCGGGATGCATTGCGTCTCCCCTCGTGCGTCATGGAAGAAATGGAACGCCACTATCCGCGTCTACTTCGCGTTTAGATCGTGCTGGGATTCGTCTTATCACATACGCGGAACTCACCCCATATACAGGTGCGTAATAGTCTGCTGAGGACTTTGGCGATACTTCCATCTCCGTCTCCGTCTGCGCCTCGTCTGGCGGAGAAAACACAAACACGTCGTAATCCGGTTCGTCCGCGTCTTCACCCAGATTGAAGGTTAGCCTATACGGGTTCCAGTCGGCAGGGGCGTCCGGCAGCGTGTGGAACGGCACAAATTCCTGCATCGCTAGAACTGACAACGTCGAGAGCTTGGACAAGGAAGTGCGAAGGTCGGGCGGAAGGGAATCCAACCCTGCTCGGTATTTCATGCTGCGCAGCGACGTCGAGCTGTCAGTGAACGCAAATAGAGCAGATCTCGTACATCTCCGGGCTCGGCGTATTATAGTGTAAGTGTGCCTTCTTTGATGCGTCCCCCGCCCTGCCGTAACGTCCAAACCGATTGCCGTGCAGTGAATCTGTGGGTCCTCAATGTAATCTGCCGCCGTTCAAGGGTCGTATATATATGAGGGTGGTGGCAAGCAGCTCGAGATTCAGAGAATGCACCTTGGATACCGTAGTGGGAGGACAACAGCTGAACAACACGTCTCCGAGAACCACGGGAGGGCGATCAGGGCTGCCAGACATTGTTTCGCTGCGGCCGATGGGATGAGCCTTGGTCATTTATGCGTAGTACTTGCCATTCCGCGGATGCTCTGCTTGACTCACGGAGAAGCACTTGGTGGTTGATCAGTATGAGTGATCCTGAACCTCGCAGGCGCCTTCATACTGAGGACGTGAGGTACCGACAGCCCGCGATCGCGGTGAAACAGAGCCATCGTCTGATTCTCCTCTTGCACCAGCAAGCGTGAGCGGTCGAGCCAAACATATGTTCATGATCTCCGTTTGAGATCTTAGCCGACATGAGGAGTATAAGATGAAGCATCCGGCTAAATACCCACCCAAGCTCGCCTCTTAGCTTGCATATTGGATATCGATGCAAGTAAACGACGTTCCACCACCGGAGGCAACGCTGTTAGGTAGGGACGATACGAGCTCGAGGTGTATGATATCAGATATATCGACTTTCCGGTAAGCACGTGATCATGAGGCTGAGAAAGTTGAAGTGTGGCTCTCGTCTGTGGCTTGTAAAGCGAAGAGCACGGGTCCTCAGCGCTCAGCGATGGCTGATACGTCCGATGAAGTTAACAGCAAAAGCCGTACGATCTTACTGCGTGTCTTCATATACAACGACTAACTAGGTTGTAGGTCCAATCCGAGGAGAAAACCAGACGTGTGAAGGACCAGAGCTTGAAAGCGAGACCTCATTAATATCGACGACTTTCGCTAGGACGGCTGGCAGTATGGATATGGATAGTGCTTCAAAGTCAGGTAATGCTAGTATTTCTGCATTCGTTGGCCTACGAGGTGCTCACTACGGAGTAGCTCCCATCGAGACAATACCAGCAGAAATTTTAGCGGAGATAATGGTTCTGACGTTGCCTCAGTGCGATTTTGCCCTCACAAAGTGGGACGAGGACGTGAAGTGGCGTAATGTTTTGCGCCTCACCGGTGTGTCCCGGCAGTGGAAATACGTCGGGGAACACACCTCGAAACTATGGAGCTGTTTCCGAGTGGAACTCTCTGGCACGAGTGAATCGAGGGCGAAGATATATCTGACGAGAACCTGGATTTCCCGTTCTGGGGCGGCTCCGCTCAACGTATCATTTGTGCTTCCGTTTTACTGGTGCGAGCCGCCCGCGAACGAACAGGTCGTCGCGGAATGGCTCAATGTTCTCAAACCGAACCTGCACCGCTGCAAGACGCTGAAGCTCTCAGCACCTCCCAACCAGCTCTCAGGCCTCTGGACGTCCGCGAACACTTCGCAGCTGGAGAATCTTTTCATCCTGAACGAGCTCGACGACTCCATGACGCTGGAAGACGCGGAGGATCTTGGCTCTGACGTAGGAATCAGGCGTCTCCACTTGAAGGGGATTAGCCCCCGCTTCAATCTTGAGTCTTTCGACTGGTCGTCGATCACCCACCTCACTCTCGATGTTAAGGGCAAAGCCTTTCTTGCATGTATGACCATTCTCGGGGAGTGCCCTGATCTCTTGAGCCTGCGCCTCTCCATAGGCGGCCTCAAGGAAGCTCATACGAGGCGGTGGTGGAACAGGCCGCGGCCCAGGCCTACGTACGAGAGGCTGCACACTTTGGAGGTCGACGCCTTCGAGAGCTATGCCGATTTCACCCACTTTCTCGACTGGCTCTACGTTCCTGCCTTACGCCACTTGAAGATCAAAGGAAACATCTTCCTATTCCCCGGCATCATGGACATCATCACACGGGACGGGTGCGCGCTCGAGGAGCTGGACGTGTTTCAGACCGACGGGAACCCAAGCGAGGAAGAAGAAGGGCTCCTGATCGAGTTATTCGAGGCCCTGCCACAATTGCGGACCCTCAAGCTGGTCGGAGAGCATTTTGGGGCATTCGGCCCAGAAGTCGTAGAAGGCTTGACTTACGGACCCCGTTCCGTAGGGCGGCCGCTCCTCCTCCCGATGCTGGAGAACATGACGGTGGATTGGATCGGTACTTCATGCTCTGCACGGCTTGTCGAGAAAATGTTAGAGTCAAGAGCCCGTCTTGACGATGATGCGGGCGTGCCGCGTCTGAAGTCTGCTCAGGTGATACAGAATTGGACCAACGGCTTTCACCACAAGCGCCACGACTGGACGATTCAAGGGAGTGGGGAGATCAAACATTCCGGCTACACGAAAACACCATGGAGGATTGATAATTTCTGATCACCTATTCTTTGTACGGCTATGGGCACGTCAGTTCAGAGTAGATAAGTAGGTATAGTGAGAGCCACTTTCGGTTCGATTGTTGCTTGTACTAGGTAAAAGGCATATACGTTCGATGGAGGGGCTGTGAATACATTACCGCCGTGTAGCTATTTCGACGCGTCGTCAAATTCCGACATAGGGATAGTTGCAGCCAATGTACCCAGAGCTGTGTGTACACAGCCATACAGGTAAGTTGGCAAGTTGCAGCACCAGGTTGTCACCGTGGCACATCCTGGCTTGCGAGCGGCTCAGTAGGAATCCTGTCCGCAGGGCATTGTATATCTTGCCCGGGCTCCCCGCTTTCGACCAGCGCTCGAGCAACCATGAACTCATGAAGGTGAGTGCCCAACTGAGTCAAGCGGCGGCTCGTGAATTACTGCTGCTTTCTGGAGATATAGCAAATCGCATCTCGTGCGATATCTCTCTGTCCAGTCCGCTCCCATTCGGACCTAGAATGGGTGTATCCGCAGCCGAGCGCAAGTTGAAGAAGAGCCGGGCGGTTGCCACCTGACAAATCACGAAGACGGCTCTGTCACTCCGGATCAGTGCGATCTCAGTATCCCATAGGAGAACGCACGAGTCAGGATCAACCGAGAGATTTCTAAATCTCCCCAGCAGCACTGCAGTGACGCCCATAGTCACTGCACAAAGAGTTCGATAATCGTGGAGAAGAGGGGGGGAATGCACATACCGATCATCACAAGGAACCAGACTGTTTGATCTCGGATGAGGACGTGAACGAGTGGCAAGCGTCGGAACTCGCTGTCAGTCCGCCTCATATAGCTTATGGTGAGGCCAAAGAGGAGGACGTCGAGCATCTGTGAGAGACCGCAGCATTATATTACGCTCACGTAAGGCGGCGCCCGCGTAGAAGTTGCCCACCATTAGACAGACCAGACTTATCCAATATGTAGTCTGCGGCATCGGGAAGCAAGTCTTGAAGGACGGCAAGTAGACGACTTGCTCGTCGTGGCCGCGACGCCACCGTGAAAGGCTTATGCCAATTGCCACGGCCACGACAGATACCTAATATATGTATATCACTCCCTATGAGAGTGGTCCGTCTGACGGGACTTTTTATGGATACGACACTGACCGGTGCGAATCCGACAAGGACTCTGATCCACTTCCTTTCTTTGTGCATGGCTTGCACGCGTCCTGGAGACGGTCGGTAAGTATCCGACTTACCGGTGTTTGTAGTAGATGTAACGTACGAGCAAGTATGACTGAATAACGAGCATTGTAATGAATACGATTACCTGAAGCTCAGTGTACGTACCATATGAGCTGGTGAACATTACAATTATCCAAAATTGCTGTGCGCGGAAGAACGTCTTACAGCTGGGGTGACGCTTTATGATCAGTGCACTGGGCCCGAAACTCGCGTACTATTCTGGGGATGCAAGCGCCGGATAAAAACCTTCACATTTTCTGTTATGAGCTACGTCCCGCATCATGAGCTAGCTACGCACTCAGCACTTTCATAACAACAGCCACAGCAGTGAGGTATCTATTCTGTGGAGGATATGATAAACTATCAGCGGTCTCTAAGGTGGTGAGATAGTTTACCAGGAGAAAGACGACCGTCACCCATGATAGTTCTGCTTTCCACCCGTAAGTCAACTCTTGGTCGACGGTAAGGACTTAGAGACACGAAGAGATGCATGTCACTGTCTGTGCACCGCACACCCGCTCCTGCGGCTTAGTATGGTCATAAAGCAGAAGCGCAAGGCTGGAAAGGCGTGAGATCGGCTTTAGCTTCTCCGCACTCGATCGGATACACATAAATTGACAGACCTTGCACAAGATAGACAGCGGTTGGTGAATATTGCTCGCAGATTCACAACTGTTTCGAGTCCCTCCGGAGACGTCAGCATAGCGACTCGAGTTCGAAGCGTTCAAGCTGAAGGGGACCGATGTTCAAGAAGGAGAGTTCGCCGCAGCAAACTATGAGGTCTCTTAAACGGAGATGCTCCTACTCAAAATTGAAATAATTAGTGAGAGATCACAGCTTGTACATAGCCTAAGCACCGCTAGGGCGTGATGATCATCGACAAGGTTGAACTCTTCAAGGTTCAAGATGGTGGCGCTGCAGAGGCGTCAAGGATCAATTGCAAGCATTTGGCAAGATCAGAGGCACGCCGTTAGGCATACGATGGAGATCAAGGGACATCGCTACATATATATAAAACGTGGATCGACACTATGACCTAAGGTGTACACACACTATGCTACACGAGGTATAACGTATCTCGGAGGCGGTTCTTTCCACTGTTGACCCAACATTTTAACATTCAGCGCCCGATCTGCGCACCCGAAGAGGCTTGCGTATTGTACTGCATCGGAAACAATATCAGTCGAGGGAGCCTCAGTTGGATGCAGTGAATGCGTACCGATCCCGCACCGGCTTGACCACCTTCGGGAATATCAAGACCGAGAGCCTCCCTGCGTGACGGGGCGTTCGGGTCGAAGTAGGGCTTCTCAGCGAGAGAGGTAACTCTCGTGCCGTGCCTGGGCTCCTGTCCCTCGTAATCCCAGCTCGCAATATGGATGGTGATACGGTTATCCTGAACGGGTAAATTTAGCCCAGGGTCTCACTTCGCCCATCAGCTTGTCGTACGTACCCATAGGGCGGATGTGCCAGGAGTCCACTTGAAACGGGTCTGAATGTCGACGTTGCGCTCGTACACATCATACAGGTAGTTCAGGATGAGGTCTGCGGATGGGATATCCAGTTCGACGCAGGATGGATACCTAATCTCAAAAGTGACTCACCGCTTTCAGCCTTGTCGAAGCCTAGAATCCGGACAGTCATGGCGCGGTTGACGAACAGACTCTTCCAGCCAGTGACGGGGTGTACTCTGACAATCGGGTGGACCCGCTCGACGTACTTCGGCCCAGATTCGGGGCTGTTCCTGTCGAGGTAGGGGTGGGCACTCCGGAATACGCCAAGCTTGCCGTCGATGATCTTGCGGAACTCCGGAGAGAGCTTGTCGTATGCGCTGTAGCCGCTGGCCCAGAGGGTGTCGCCTCCGTATTCGGGCACTGTGTCGTTGTGCAGATGGGTAATACCGGCGGGTTGGAGTTCGTGAACGAGGTCAGTGTGCCCTTAAGAGACGCCCCAAAAGTATGAGCACCGGAAACCATGAATGGCAGGCGAGCGCGACTTACAGCCAGATGCGCCACCGGGTTGCCTGAAGTTTGCTTTCCTTCCCTCAGCGATGGCCAGGTCAGGCCACATCACGGTGACGCCTGGGTTGCCGGGGACCTGCGGGACCTGTGGGTGCACCTCTACCACCCCGTAGTACGCACCGAGAGCCAGCTGCTCTGGCGGCGTAATGTCTTGGTCCCTGAGGAAGACGACGGAGCGCTCAGCAATGAGGAGAGCAAGTTCGTCCTTCTGCTGGTCGGTGAGCTTCGAGAGCTGAACACCCTCGATCTCCGTGCCGATGTGACGAGTCAGATGCGTCACTTTGGTGGCCGCACCGAAGAGGGCCTTCTTCTCGGGGTCCGCGCGCTTGCCTGCATCGTTGTGCTCCCTGACAGCATATCGTCAGTGCGTAGAGAAGTGATACGGGGCTACAGGGACGTACCAAGGTTCTCCCCGGATCTTGTATACCTCGTCCAAGAACTGAGGCTTCTGCGGACGGGTAGGGTAGGCGTCCGGGTTGATACCTCCGCGGATTAGCTTGTCTCTGGCGCGCTCGGGCAGAGTGAGACCAAGTGTCGGAGACGTCACGTCGGCTGCAGGCATGCTGATGCAGAAGAGTCGAGTAGATGAGATTGAGGAGCTTTCGAGAGCTCCTTGGTATGATCGCACATTCAGACTAGGCATTTATAGCGAGAAGAAAACAGATGTCGCCTGACCGTGTTGCGACATCTTGCGTTATGCACGAGCCCCCTTAGCACAGACTTCGATGCTGCGTAAGAGGCCGATAAGCAATGCGATATGCAATAGCATAGAGAGATTTGTTCTGTCAGCGTGATATGGAGCACGACAAACAAGGGTAGTATGACGAAAAGGCCGATACCGTTCAATGCAGCGTCGGGCTTAGCCCTATTCTTGGAATAAGACGGGACGCTGCATCGAATGATAGTACCTTGACTTGCGCAATGCAGACAGGTCTTGCGAACCGGCCGCTGGTGGAACGAAGACTTGATCTGTGTATGTTATAAATCAGCCAATGTGTCGGCAACTCAGGCGTTGATCATGAGCGTAAGTCTGAGGTATGCATCAATTCGGTGCGTCCGGTCCGCGGCGTTCGGCTCGGTTCGGCCGACAGCCACACTCTCGACACGAAGTCGACATTTTACATCCGCCAACTCAGCGACCAATCCCAGTTCACCAGTGATTGGGCTTATTGAGGAGGGTGCTGTGGAATGAATCACGGGTTAGGGGCTCAAATATTATCTACTGGTATGTCATGAGCGAAGATACCCATTTTTCAGGACGAACAAAGGGGTCGTGTTGTTTACACGTTCCTTTCAAGGCCTGGCACATAAATGCAACTGCGACTGTGCACATCTGTCGCTCAACTCTGCGTCCGTTCATATCTGTTCAGGTCTGACTCTATTCCAACTGTTTCAGTGGTAGCACACTCGTTAAATAGCAAAAGTGATGAATGAAACCGACATCTTCAAGCTACACGACGAAATAGGTTCGTATCGTGCCACATATCCTTCGCTCTTTTCTATAGGATCTAATAGAGCTCTAGTCAAATATTATGTCGCTCTCCTTACTGTCCGATCGGAAGCCGATGCTCTCGGTCGACTCGGAGTCCCGCTGCCATCGAAATCAGCCCGTGATAAAGGGAAGGCAAAAGCGACTGAACCCGGTGGGTACCACTACGCAGGTTTCGTCCGCCGTACTCAACGATCAAACAGAAGTCCCTCCAGTGAACAGGCTGCCTGCGGAGCTGCTCTCCGAGATCATGGTGCAAGCTCTCCCGGACGACCAATTCAGAGATTGGTACAAGACGCTGCTTTTCACTAGGGTGTGCAGCTACTGGCGGATAGTTGCGCAGGATACGCCTCATCTCTGGTGCTCAATCAACATCGCCCCACGCCCGAACAACCTCATGCAACTCAAGATGAGGCACGTCAATTTCTTCATGCGAATGTGGCTAGCGCGCTCGGAGCCGTACCCGATCAGCGTATCATTGTCTCTCCCTTCCTCGTACCTCGACCGTGAATTCACGCGCGAACGCGACCAGAGCTTGGAGTGCATTCAGCTGCTGAGCGAGAACCTGTACCGATGCAAGGCGCTCCGGCTGGCCGCGCCGTTCCAGGTGATATCGATGCTCGCGGACGCGCCGCTCGAGTACCTGGCGGACCTGCGCCTGCTGAACGACACCCCGCGCGATCCGATGACGCTCAGCCTGCCGTCGCTCGCGGCGGCGCCTGCCCTGCGCACCGTCCATCTCGCGCACGTCAGCCCCGCCTTCTCGCTGGACACGTTCGACTGCGTGCGGCTGACGGAGCTCTCCCTGGAGACGCGCGGGCCCGCCGTGCTCCGTTGCATGGAACTGATTGTGGAGTGCACGAATCTAGAGACGCTTAAGCTGCACGTCGAGAAGGTCAGTAAGGAGGACTTCGATGCGTGGCCCAACGCTGCCTTACGGAGGCCGCTCTTCGACAGCCTCGAGACCCTGCAGGTCACCGCGCGGAGGTGCGCGGAGGACTTCGGCAGGATACTCAGCTGGCTTTATATCCCCGTCTTACGTCGCCTCAGGGTCGTCGGTAATGGTGTGAGCTGGGCCCGCACACGCCACATGATACTGAGGGACGCATGTCAGCTGCGGGAGGTCGAGGTGCACCAGGATGATTCCAAGTTCCGTTTCTTCCCCGAGGAGAGCGACCTGCTGGAGTTCCTCCGATGCGTGCCCGAGCTGCGCGTGCTCAAGTTGGGCGGGACGCGCAGCGGGTACAAGGCGTTCACTGAGGACATCGTCAAGGCCATGACGTACAAACCAGAAGGCAACCTAAGCGAGTACCTGCTTCCGCAACTCGAAGTCATGGACATATCCTACATCACGCGGAGATGTCAGGCGCATTTCATCGAGGAGATGCTCGACTCTCGGCGTGAGGTCCCCGCAGATGCCAGTGGACGGCTTTCGCGGATCAAGAATGCCGTGGTCGTCCAGCCCGCGCCTTGGATGCCGAACCATCAGAAGTGGAGGATTGAAGAAGGCGGGGAGGTCCAGTATCAACTGCGGCAGTATTCGGGCAATATGGACTTGAATCCGGACTTTTGCTGGTCAGACGGATATGACCACGTATAGAGCATGGGCCTACCTTATTGTCCAGAAGTCGGCAGATACATTTTCTGGGGTTTTGTGATGTAGGTTCCCGTGCTATATTCCATCGCTGGAATAGATTGCAGCAGTCAGCGGTGAAGCTGTCACTTGTCCGCCGGGACGATGTCATGTAATATGTGGGCTTCAGATGCGCCCCTGTGTGAAGGGAAAGGCATACTAACTGAAACGACCGTGAGTCTTCCGATTGTCAAGGTGACGGTATGAAGGTAGCCAGTTGGTACGGCGGAGATCAAGCTGGGAAGTTTACTCTGGACGGTTTATTTGGCTAGCCATGCGTGTGAAGGTCACAGGAATGGCTAGGCAAATATACCGCCCAATACTCGTGAGTATCAGAGAGGTACGACCGCACGCTGTCTACAGATGCTTGAAACCTGGACAATCTCTCAGATGTGCGACACAGGTTTGGCGGCGTACGTGACAGCTTCCCCGCGGACCGCGCATCCTGGGGTGCTCGCTGCGGCATCCTAAATAGTATGATTACCAGAGGGCAACATACTGCCAGGGTATCGAGAAGTCTGCACGTCGTTGTAGTAGGCTGCACCCGCTCATGCTCGTCCACTTCCGGGTCGACGACGCTCATGAGCGCCTCGCTCAATATGCCTGTCCAAAGAGACTGTGTGTGGCTGTAGCAGGTGGAATTGACGTATTTAGCTCTAAAATATCAGCGCCCAGAGAGTCCCACAGCCTCTGTAGAGTTCCTATGAAGGTTCGATACATCTGTCAGCAAAAATAGACACGAAGCGAATCTCAAAATTCACAGTGGTTCAAGCTTGAATACAGGGACTTCATGAGGTTATCAGAGTGGGAAAATAGTGCTTGCATTAGTGTAGGTTCAGTGAAAATAAAACATACATACCGCGTACTTATTTGACTGTTCGAGCGACGACTCGGTTGGCTCGGGCAAGGCTCGGGCTTGACTCGAGCATCGCCGCCGGGGGCGTGACATGTGGTAGCGCCACTGTGACATCGCTAGACTTAGCGAAATCCACCCGGTTGCGGTCAAGGTTGCCCGACGCTCTCAACGTTGCTCAAGTGCCGCTGCTCGTCGTCGTCGCGGCCGCTGTGCTCTGGGCGGTTATGCTGGATCCCATGTACGCTGGCAGTTCAAGACCTATGAAGCGCGTGCGGGTGCTTGCGCCTCGGCAGACGGAAGCTAGTGAGTCCATGTGTCTTACGCAGATGTGCCTGAGGATAAACCGTTGGTGGCGCAATAGCGACATCGGAGACAGAGGCATCGACGTCTGCAGGGACGGACCCGACTGCAACTACACTAGCACCGGTGAGCGTGTTGTCGACTTTGATATGAGCTCGTTCTTATCCGTCTTAGACGTCTCAAATCACTGGACGGCAGGATGCGCCCAACGATGCTTCAACTACCTCTGCAGGGTCCGACACGGCTACCACGTCCCCAGGAGACGCCGGAACCAGCAGCGATACCTCGAATGACTCTGGCACGACTTCCCAAACAACCGATTCGTCCCGCACAACGCACAACTCTTTGACGGATTCGAATAACCAGTATGTCTCCGTGAACTCGGCGATCTCTTTCTCTCACTTATCTGTAGATCATCGCCCACCGAGACGACGCCTACGTCGACTACCACAGACACCTCGACTTCTTCCTCTACGTCGACAACCACGTCCACGTCCACTACAACTTCGGCATCGACTACCTCACAGTCGACAACTACCTCTACGAGCAGTAGCAGTACAACGTCGACTAGTACCACCTCTACCTCCGCTTCCACCTCAACATCCACCACCTCGACCACTGATGCCTCTACCTCAACGACGTCTTCATCATCAACAACAACCCCTCCACCGTCTTCCGGCAGTACTTCTTATTTCACGTCGTCTACGGTCATCACGAAGGATGGGCAAGTGTCCACAGTAAGTACCTAACCCACGCTTTCCTAGCTCCTGCCGCTGACCTCACCAGTCGTACACCGTGATCCCGACGATCTGGAGCGGCCAAAGCACGCCCATGAGCGCCTCCCAGCGCACCGCCATCATCGCCGGCAGCGCCGTTGCGGGCGTCTTCCTCCTCACCCTCCTCGGCGCGCTCCTCTTCTTCTACAAGCGCCACCAGTACAAGAAGCTCTTCTTCTTCCGGCGCCGGCCCGCGAAGCCGCGCTCGCAGCTGCTCGCGGGCGAGGACTTCGACGACGCGGAGACGCCGATGCAGCAGTACCGCGATGACCCGTTCGCGCCGCCCGGTCGCGGCAGCTTCGACTCGAGCGGGAGCCCGAGCCTCATGCGCCCGCGCGCGGAGACGGGGAGCGTGTTCCACGAGGCGGTGTGGCCGCCGCCCTCGGGCTCGGGGCGCCTCGTCGACCCGCTCGTCGCCGGCTCGAGCCAGGTCGACCTCGGTGGCATCGTCGATAACGTGATGGGACCCGGGCGGGGGCAGGGGCAGGGCAGCCATATACGTGGGGGCACGGATGCGAGCGAGGTCAGCCTCGACTCGTATTACCCGCCGTCCCGCCATGGAAGGGATCTCTCGACGAGCTCGCAGACTGGGTTGTTGGAGACGCAGGAGGGACTCAATACACCACCGCATCGGCCGAGCCCGCTCGCTGGAGACGGGGCGCAGGGAGAGGGCTCGACGCATAAGCGCAATTGGCTGGAGAGGTCGCCGAAGAAGGTCAATTTTAGCGGGGATCCATCGAGTCCGCCTGGATTGGGTGTTGCCATGTAAAAGTGGGTTTAGAGAGTTTTCGTGACATGCTTGGTGCTGACCGCCGTTCTTGCTAGACCGTGGTTCTCCGGCCCTCGACATCTCCTGAGTTACTCTATCTGCTCCGACAAGATTTTATCGGGCTCTGCAATAACATTCACTCAACATCACGACATATACGACCGGACTTTCGTTCTTTGATAGACTCCTCTGTTTTCTGTCGGCATCACGGACCTTCACTCGCGGACCTGTCGTATATCTTATAGTATGTCTCTTCCCGTGCATTCTGTCGTGTTATCATTGGCTGCTTCCTCCATCGAGCATATCCTCAGCCTGCGTGTTATATTCTAGTTTATCGCGCGCTCTGCTTCAACCCCCTTCCGATGTTGTTGTTGTAAATATCGTAACTAATGCTTCGATAATCGAATTGCACTTTGGACTGCTGGCTGTGATTCCTTTATTCGTGGCCCGATTACTCTCACTGTATGTAGTCGTGCAGATGGGAAGGATGACGTTTCGAAACGCAGGCGCTCAGATCAGTACACCATATACATCCATTGAATGTTAGACCCAGGCGTCTGCCCACTTGCAATCGTACTACAACCAGCAAAACTCGGGATTGAAATCCATATTTCCTGAGTACTGTCGTGCGAAATACTCGACCTCGCCGCCGTCCTTCACCACCCAGCGCTGCGTGTTAGGCATCCACGGCCAAGGTTTTATGATGGACGCCTCCCGCAGGCGCGCTACCGGCCCATCCGCGGGGAGCGTCCGCCGCGAGTCCAGCATGGCAGCGACACGGCGCCCCGTGCAATATGGACTTACATAACACACCGATATCTCCTCGAGCTGTGGGAGGAGATACTCTCCTGTCGAGAAACGCTCGGGGTCGTATGTCAGAGCATGGAGGACGTGGTCGTCGAATGGCTTGTAGCCAGCCCTCACACCGCCCATACGGAGCACGCGGAGCTGCGGCAGGGCCTTGAAAAACCGCACCAGCTGGTCTTCGTCCTGGAAAAGCATTCTGCCGCTCTGGGAGTGGCTCAAGTCGAGGTGCTCGATGGCAGATCCGTCCCTGATGATGGCGTCTGTGAGAAAGGGGTCAAGCCGTATGGAGTTTCCTGCGATCGTCAGAGAGCGCAGGGCGGGGAGGAGTAGCCAGTCCAGGACGCCGCTAAAGTTGTACCAGGAATTCCAGATTGTGACGTCGAGCTTGCGTAGCTGTGCGTACGTCGGCCGTGGACGGCGCACGAAGAAAGGGTCCACCTCTTCTTCCGAGATCTTGCTAACTTCCATCTTCAGGCTCTCTAAGTTGGCGCATTTCCCCAGAATGTCCATGCATCTCACGAGTGCGGAACCCCTGACATCAGTGAGAATGAGATGTCGCAGGAGCTCGAAGTTGAATGTCTTCAGACTGAACTGCGGGTCAATATGAGTCAGGTGGACATATTGTAAGCGGGCGGCATTCGCTAAAGAAGGCAGGGTGTCGAGCATCAAGCGGCGATTGTCGTCGTTGAGCAGCAAGAGGCTTTCCAGATATGGCGTGGGCACGTCCGGCAGAGTAGCTATGATCTTGCTAGGCGCAATGAGACGGAGCTTCCTGCAGCGGTAAAAATTGGCCTTCAGGATCTTGACGCAGTCCATTCTGCGGCTTTCTTCTTTCGGCAGATCCTCTTTGAGGTAGTAAGAAGGGATCTTGAGAGACAGGCTGAGTGACAACGCGCCAGAACGCTCCGTCCACATCCTCATGAAAAGGTTTGCCTGCTTCAGCTTGATACGGGGCCATTGAGTCCATCCCAGTTCAATATCCAGAGAACACCATAGTCCCGGCGTGGCTTCAGCAACAGCTCTCCAGCGTCTCGATACGCGCGTGAATACAAGAACCCAGCACCAGTGAACAAAGTGATGCTGCGGGAGAGAGGACACCAGTATTTCTGAGAGCAACTCCGTTGGCAAAGAGTCAATAGTCATACGATCTATGCACAAGAACGAGTTTCAGAGACTCGTTTCCATAGGCATTCATTCGTTAGTACTCGCCAGGACTCGAGCCACTTGACTGGGCATCCGCTTGACACTCGTCTACAATGTCTGAGAGAGATTGGACTTCGAGTTGAATAGACTGTCGACCAACTTCTTGGGGACAATGATTATTGTCCTGCTCATTGACAGTCGTAATGCCTGGCAGCCGCCAATGTCAGACGTGGTCAGAAAGCAGAACGGTGGCAACGGTACCTGATACAAGGGGTCCGAGATCAAGGGGTTTATCCGCCATATCAGCACATAAACAAGAGGTCGGGGAGAGGCTTGTGAATCAGTCCAGGCCAGTCCTAGCCGGGAAGCTCTGCACTCAGCGGAGACGATCGATTGCCACTAAGGTTGGGCGCGGGTGACACCGCGGCTCTGCCACGGTCACCCCGACCCGTACCCGCCTGTACCGCACCCGCAGCGGGTAAGGGTACAAAACCCGCCCGAGAGACCGCGGGTCGCTGGGTGCCCTTGGCCGATGCCCGAGGTAGGGCTTTGCAGGTTCAAGGCACCCTATTGAAGGTTCTGTTGGGCTAGTTTCTTTGTACACCTGGATCTGACAGTGCCGTACCTGACTCCAGTATCACCGGGAACCAACTTCCCGCATTTACCCTTCAAAAATCATAAATTTCGTATAAATATTGTACCCTCCACCAGACCCGCGGGACCCGAGACCCGTTGGGACGGTTTCACGGTAGCGCGCGGTTCGAGGGATTTCAGACCCGAGCCCGCACCCGAGCGACCCGCGGGCCTAATACCGCGGTGGTACCCGCCACCCGCGCCCATCCTTAATTGCCACAGGCCAGAAATGAGACTATTCATCGACGTTCCCACGCCACCCGCCGGCAAAGCGATACGCGTCACATCCTATTCATTCCCATATATAGGGAGTAAGCGTGTCCTGAGCTCTCACTACTGCACTCAAGCACCCGGTCTGACCGCTTCCGATGCTATGGATATCAAAGATGCTGGAGTGGTTTTGTACCGGACGAGCTAGGACGTATATTCTGCTGTCATGATCATACGCGCGCCAACTTGAACCGTACTTAGTACGGAAACTGTCACCGCACTGTGATCTACGATTCAGCGGTCTGAGAGAGGGACAGTCAGCGTTCCAGTCGATTTAGCGGCTTGCTTGCATAGCACTGCAAGCAGTTAATGCAATGCCACATTTTGTGGAGCTAGACACCTTGGTTGACTGGGCCGGCTGACGAACAACGCACTTCATTGCGTTCTAGTGTCTCTTCATGATCGGCCGGCGCTGCAAGGATCCATCCCTCCATGGGTCGCAGTATGACTCCAACGGAAGGTACGGGCTGACCTGATGCTATGTATGAGCCGGTCCATTGCTGACCCTGATGCCTGCGTTTGTACTTTGATCTCAGATCTTGGAGCGGTACCAGCCTCGAGTTTTATTATGCACTCTGATAAGAAGGCCCTTCGACAGTGCTGCTGAAAGAACTACTCTTCATGCCCTGATCATACGGTTATTACCCACCGCATGTGAGTAATATCCTGGCCACAACCCGGGCCCATCTCAGTAACGAAGACAGGTGCAGAATCATATTCGATCTTGTCGCAGTCTACGTCACCTGGAGAACCAAATACAGGCGACTACATGGCGCGGTTTGATACACCGCAATTCCTCTCACGTGTCTTCATTGACCGATATATATCGTTTGGGAGGTGGGCATGATGCTTTACTTCCGTGCCCAGAATTCAGCCCTTTGCAGCCTGGCTTGCTTGATATATGACCACGGTATTTCATCCTCCTAATCAATGCATTATAGCACACTAACTGTGAAAAAGCACTTACCTTCGACGAGGAAATTCAGTTTGTATGGTGTACTAGTCTGTCTCGAGTCAAATTATTCTTCATTGTGGTTCGTGAATGTCCGATCTGCACTCATTACGTTGCTGCATGAGAGTTTATTCTTTACAGAATCGGTACCTAGCGCCCTTAGGGATATTCTTTGACACATTTAGTGAGTCCTCTTGATGAGATGCATCATCCATGACTCAACAGCTATTCACAGGCAAAGTCGACATTTTCCCAATTGTTTCATTAAAGTAGTATGTCCTATCATCCGTATTTTGACCCGCATCGATGAACGGGGGTTTGACTAGCTGCAGGATATTCTACGAAGTGGAGCGAGTATGGTTGGTGTGCTTTTTTATACTATCCTACAGTAGGTTGCCTCGCCTCTTCCTCGCAGCCATCATGATTAACGGTGCGGGGTGCCTCACTGGCAGGCGTTTTAGCAAGTTCGCATGGTTCCGTACCCCTGTGGAATTGCACTGAATGCTTCTCTAGCTAGGGTAGGCTCCTTATATCATAATTCCCGAGCACTCAGGCGCCTATGATTCGGTGCAGGTGTATGTACCATACCATCGCATACACCCTTGACATGCCTGACCATACTTCTTCAGATCACCGCTTGCGCTATCACTGTCGCGACAACTGTAATCTCAGCTCGGAAAGGCAACCAAACAAGTTCAGAGGTCATATATCTTGCGGATTTCCGGAGCTGTTATGATCTGCCGGTGCCAACAGACTGGATCACATTTGTGACTCCCATGGTAAGTACTTCGTGTCACAACCGCCGTTTCTGCTTATATTCGTCGACTCCGTTGGTAGGTACTGGATACCATCTACCTGGCGTTCACCTTATTCCATGCATGGACCTGTCGCATGGAACTATTGAACATGCCGCTCGCCCATATAATATGGCGGGACGGCGTGATATGGTTCTGCCTGATGATTGGTATGCATGTGTTCTACTGGTATGACCGGGCTAACTTTGTATCTCATAGTTACAATGGGTAGCATTGCCATCATTTCTGGCTGGTACAGAGAGGAACTAATCGCGCCAACAACGTAAGTTGTTGCCACTCGTACCGCAGGACTCTGATCGGGTTCGAGCGAGCCTGGATAGTCTCGCATATATGACCTGTCAGGTCGCCACTTCCAGGATTTATTTCAATTTACATCGTGTCTCTGAAGAGATGTCCAACCCAGACTTGATAGAGATGAATGTTGCTATCAGTGGTCTTGAATTTGTTCGGCCAGATTCGACAGAAATACAGGTGCTTGCTGAGCCCTGACTCCTGATCATGAGGTAGTACCCAATCTCTACGTCGACCACCCGGGCTTCCATAGAGATTGTGAGGTATACCAAGTTGGGACCCTGCATGTGTTGAAATGAATGATTTCGTGAAGCTGTCAGCGGGAGCTAGAATGCGTCCGAGTCAACTCCGCTTACAAAGTGGCTGTTACCGGCGACGTCAACCCTATTGTCGTTGTCCTCTAAGTTTACGGGGTCCTGATTTTCACTTTCTTCCACGGTTTGCTTTCACTTTCTGTTTAACACTTTCTAACACCATATTTAAGTTAAAAAAATTACATTTATTGAACCAGAATTCAAGCATGTATCTGGATACTTTTTGGAGCGGGATGCAACCCACCCACCAAGTGTGGAAAGCGGAATGCGAGGATGCGGGGTGTAGACTTGCCTGATTCGGACGAACGACGCAAAGAGTCTGTAATGACCTTCCTCGAGCACTCGGTGAATACTGTGAGTATTGCCTGCAGCTTTGAATTTTGTATTAGTGTATAGTAATCTGCAATCTATAAGAATCCTTTTCACTTTGGGGGGTCGCCGTCGGGCGTTTTCTGTCCGTGGCCCCTTGGTCCTGACGGCAACAACATCAGGACGACTACAAACTATCAGTAGTGGCACTACATCAGCAACTTTAGTTGGCACTACAACGACCGTGTAGTGAGACTACAGACCCAATAGTAGTCATGCAAAGCGATAGCCAATCACCACGCGAGCATCCTAAACGATGCGGATTCTCATGGTCGGTTCTGAGACATCTGAGAGCTCCTGAGAGGGTCTGACGAAAATTCCTCAGGAGCTGTCAGGACAGATACAGAAGTGCTGATGCTCAGCTTGTTCGACTAGTCAGGGCGCAAGCAGGGCCATATCAAGTCTAGGAACCGATGCCAGCCCTCGCTATGCCCGGTCAGTTGACGTTCGAATTCCTAACACTGGTGGAATCGCATCGCCATCGACTTATCGGGATTCGTAGTGCTATGTGAAGAAAGGGAGGCAGTGAGGGAAGAACACACTGTAACTGAACATCAGAAAGGTGAGTGAAGAGTGCATCCTCAGGCTTGCCGTTGATCCGGCACAGCTTCACATGTACAGCATTTGCAGTGTCGAGGGAATGTAAAGCACATAAAGTTCAACAGGACTCATACGTTTCTGAGATCCTGACGGCAGCGCTGCCTGGCACCTCTCTACCCAATTCGATTTTTAGCGCGGCATGCCGCGGTGGACCAGCTGGCGTAGCCTGCCGGAGACACTCAAGCATCGTCGACGGCGCAAAGATCGAGATAATCCACGACTACCTTTGGAAGAAGCCAAGGTCCTTCTCGGCATCGTCGGTGCCCTGGCCGACGGCGCAGTCATAGGGCTACCTTGCTTGAAATCCGTCTGTTCCATCGCCGACGCGGTCATCACCATATGTCAGGTCAGTTCATATTGATACGAGCTCCTGTTCATATTTCAAATGTTTATCAGGATATAAAGACCAATAAAGATGACGCCGCTAAATTAGCCGGGGACACCGAACAGATCAAAGTTCTACTGAAGGCGGCGATGAGGGACGAGATGGACGATAATGTTTCTAACGAGATGCTCAAGGATGATGTTGAGCGTTTGCATCAGTGAGCTGAGACGTGTTTTCCTGCAACACCTGTCCTGACCATTGATCCAGTGTTCTGGAGTGTGTGTATAGCCGGATGAAAAAACTGTCCGAGAGCGGTCGCATGAGCAGGCTATGGAAGCATCAGTCAGATAAAGAAAAAATACTGGAGTGCCGAAGAGACCTAGGTCACGCGATGCAACTGTGCCAGGTACCCATATTGCTACCAGTGAAACGCAACGACAATAACGAGGATTCATCGTATCTCACTTCTTAGCTCATGGGCGTCGTGAAAATATGCGCTAGCTGGGACAAACAACACCGAGTTGCGGCAAGTGTGAGCGACAGCGATTCACTTACGCAAGATACGCAGAAGGCCCCGTCCTCGCAAAACTTGCTGTGAGTGTTACCCTGGCATTGCCGTCGAATATATCACTGACCTCAAGAATCCCTATCCCGGTGTGATTGTTGTCTTTCAGTCGTCTACCGGGTTTCATCTCCTTTGACACCCAGGCTGGTGTTGACAAGGACGGCTTGGTATGCTTTGGTGTGACTCTTAGAGCGAGCTACAAGGTTTTTTTTGGTTTAGACCAGTGGGGTTGGTCTGCCTGCCCGACGCCTCCCAAAGGTGGTAGGTTGGTCCAGCCCTGGCCCTCTCGGAAGACTCTCCAATATACCGAGAGATTCACGGGTGGCCACCCTCGCCCCGACTGCACTACTGCCCTGGTGGCAGAGTGC